GCGTCCAAACCACCTTCCAGGTAAGAACCATTTAGCTAGGCATCCAAGCCACATTCCAGGTAAGAATTATTTAGCCAAACATCTGAATCACCTGCCAGTCAGGAGCTGTCGAAATACACATCATCAATGTCAAATACCATTTTTTTTTCTGTTGGGCCCCGATACCCGTCACCTCTCAATCTAAGTGAAGGTGGAAACCGATTCAAGTCTCCCCCACAAGCCACAACAAGCCAAAAACCTTACCAACTGAGCCAGTTGGCTCTTTATCGAATAACCCACATTTGTTAGGACTGTGTCTTATAGCCCTATGCTAAAACAATTGAATCAAAGCGTTAGATTTATTTGTCATGGCCCCACCTTGAATTAGATGAAGTGACTTCTTTGGTGGGGCTATTGCAGTATTCTGTTTTAACCAATAGTGTCATAGAAAAAGTGAACTCCTTATGGATTACCAATACTTGATAGACCTGAGAAGAACTTATTCCTGATGGGTACAGGGTTGGTTTAAAATGCTATAATGTTTTGGTATGTATCATCATACAATATATATCCGATTTTTAATCCATCAAAATGCCAAATATCAGGATTTACGACAAAAAAGGCCATTTTAGAACCTAAAACTTATTTCAATTTTTGGGTATTGTAAGTATCAATACTTTGAACCATGGATGGGTTCTTAATTGGTGGATCCCAATAGTTGGGTCAAAAAGAAAAGGAACTAGAACCCATTGGGTCGGGCTAGGGTTGTGCATTAACCAATAATATGTCACAAAACACCACTGCCAGCCCGGCCAATATCTTTAGATAATTGATGTAAGCTTGTGAAGTTTTATCTCAGCCCCAATAATTCCCAAGCTCCCAACCCATCCCCATGGGCATGGCAGGTGCTTTTGTCTGTGAACAAGAGAACATAATAACGTCATGACAAAGGCTCTCTCATGACTTCAATTAAGAATTTACATCACATCTGCACCTCATAGAGTGCGCCTCATGGGCGTCCGGCCCATAGTACATCCGAACCATCTATTGAAAATATCTCCCAATAATAAATGCGTTGAGATATATATGTAGGGCGTTTATCGTAATGAGTTCACATTTCCGTCCAATAAGGAACCGCCCTCACAGCACATCCCTGCCATGTATTGAAAACATCACCCTTAATTTGTGTTGGTTTGTTTTGCTGTTGTCTTCAATCTATTTGTCTTCCAATCTCTATATAATACAGTTGTGACCTTGTGGGGCTACTACATGCCCAAATGCCATCATATGCAGAATGTATTGATGGTGAGTTGTACCAACCATTAGGCATCTCGTCACCTTGTTTGAACGGTCCTTGCATCATTATTAGCTCATCGCATTTATCTCTCCATTAATTGATGTTGAGATTGAAATATTTCAGTTATTATTTTCATCCCTTTTATAGGAAAGCCTTTGTTCCGATTCAAACGGATGGAATCAAAATCTTCATTGTATAAGAGACAAAAATATAGCTCGATTAATATTTCATCTGAAAAATTTTCCCTTTTTACATTTTGGATTTGTCACCTTTGGCTCTGTTTGTTTGTAAATCTGAACCTGATACACATTTTGGATTTGTCACCTTTGCATCCATTTGTTTTAATGTATGACTCACTCACACTCCTAAACAATACAAACTCTGTACAGTTTTCCTCACGTGCACCCTAACAGTGCAAATTTTGCATCCGTTTAATTTGCTTTTACTTGGGCTCCATTTGGGAGGAGTACAAATACAAATATGCAGAGTACAAAACCTTGTATTTTACATTATTTTGTATGCATTTGTACTGCACATATTTGTATTTGTATTTCTATCAAACTGAGCCTTAATACCTCATATAAAGTGGGACTACGGTTAGGTTGTATTTGGCACCGCTGCATCATTTTGCTTGAAACCTCACTCCCAAACAAAAAAGAAAAAACCCTCGTCCTAATAATTCAACTTTTTTCATGCAATGTGAGCATCACAAGATGGGGGTGTTGACGCAATGGTTGATTATTTCTCTATTGCAACTTGGGTGAGTAGGATTCAAATCTTGGAAATAACCTCTTTTTTAACGAAGGGGTAAGGCTGTGTACATCTGTCTGTCTCTAGACTCTGCATTGGTGGGAACCTCGTGTACTGGGCTGCCCTTATGGTCTGTTCCTGTTCATTTTGCCCACCCTCCAGGAGGAGAGTATCAAATGCTGGATTATTGCAATTCCGTGAGACCCACCCACTTATCCTCGTTTTTACCAGAAAAGGAATGAGACCGATATAATTTAGGTGGGGATCATACCATTTTACAAATAAATAAGACGGTGAAATCTGAAACAGAAGTATACCAGAACCCGAATTTACACTCAATCTATTTGCACTCTCATTCATTTACACCAGTGCAAATGAAATTTGCATTGCAAACAACCAAGCCAAAAACGACTTCCTGCATTATCAAGATGACTGTGGGGGAGACACCCTTTTCTTTTCGTATAACATGGTCAATTCTGCTCCGGTTTTGGTCGGAATTGTGGTCCAGAAATTACAATGATTGAGGGTAGAAATGAGTCGACTTCAGTGCGAATTCAAGACCAGCCCATGTCTGGCTAGCCCATTGACAATTTAACAATTTTACAAGTTAACCTAACCTAAGTTGCACCTCTACCAACCAATTTTTTTTTATCCTCAATGGATGCTCAACTGGGTATTGGATCAGCCCAAATTTCAGTCTGATATAGCTGGCCCATTATCTGCCTTGCTAAGCTGCAATGTATCCATGTCAACCTTAAGTCCCTGGAGAAAACTTAAACATACCATTACCTGATCAACAAAACCATTCCTGCAAGTAAGATCGGATTAGCTGAACACACTGGCTGTTTAGTGGGCTGTGGAACCAATTGATAAGCCCCCACTACACAGCCATTGCGTTCAGCATGGGCCAACTTGAGGCCCAGGTTACTTAGTTGGATTGCATTTGTTCTCAGCTCTTGGAAAGAACTTGGACCTTCGCCAGTCCTAAGCCCAAAGCAATAGACGGAAGGTGGCCTATGTCCACCTTGGGCAAAGTGTGTAGAGCAAACCTTAAATCAAAATGTTAACTAGGTTTTGAGCTCTTTATTAATAATTATTTAATTTAATTTGATCATTTAGAGATAAAAAATAGCAAATCAATTAATTAGAAGAATCAAGAAAATAATACTTAAAAGTTTACAGTTGAAAATAATATAGTTTGTTTTAGGCAGAGATCAACACAAAATCATCCAACTTTCTGCCAATTCACAAATTTTTCCTCCAAATATAAATTAGATTATCAAATTTGAAATTTGACTATTTTATGAAATATCACATGATACGATTGCTAGGTCACTCTTTCCACATCTTCCCCCAAATTTCTTTAGATATAAACCCCTAATATAGTAAGTAGAGGCATTAAACCTGTCACTGTCAAACTTGAGACTCCATTTAATGGTGAAAAAGCCATTGATAGAATACAAAAAACAGCTTATAGATCATACAGTTTAGAATTTGTCTAAACTTACTGATTTTTTTTAGGCAAAATAATCTATGGAAGTAACCATTTGACAGTGGATCCAAATCCTCTATACATGGGAGACATGGTGACTGAAGGCAAGGTTAAAAGTATCGATACGATACACGTGTCGGCAGTATCATATCGGTACTTAGAAGCGCCCGAGATTCTATTTTTTTTAGTTTTTTTTTAATTTTAATTTTTTGGGAAGTTAAAAACATGTTTTTTTTTAATTAAAAAAAGTTGGGGTTCCGAAACACCTGAAAACAGGCATTTCAGATCGTATTGTTTTCAAAAGATACGATATGATACACCCGATACAGGGCGTAACGTATCAATACTTTAAACCACTGATAGGAAGGCACCCTTTTAGCATGAAAAAAAGATCAAAATATCACTTGAGAAAAAACTCTCAAACAAGGATCAAAATATCACAACATATGGGTCCATAAACTTCCTAGCTCAGATCTCCTACTCACAACTACCCATAGGATACTACAGCTGTACATTGAGAACATCTTCTTTGTTTACATGTTAACATTCATGGGAGGATGCTCCGAGACCGCATCTGCTCCTCACGCCTCACATGAGAGGATGTTCCGAGACCAGATCTGCTCCTCATGCCTCACACCGATCTCACACGCACATCCTACTATGCACTGGGAACATCTCCCATACTTATTATTCATGGGAGATGTTCTCAATGCATAGTGGATGTGCCTGTGAGGCGCCCATTTGTGAGGAGCAGATCCTGTTCTGGATGTTCCTAATGTACAGCTGTAGTGTCTTGTGGGTAGGAGATTGTGATTCTTATTAAATTTTCACAGTTACCGATACATGTTTTTTCAAAGAGTTTCAATAATTTTTAAAAAGTTTCAGCTGCCGTATACTATCTACTGTTAGCTTATCAAAGCAAAATAAATAAATAGAATCAAAGAGTTTCTTTTTATTTTTTCTTTTTTTTTTTTTATACAATAGGGAGAAACCACAAAGGATAAACAACAAACAAACAAGAAAATTATACAGAGGAGAAAGTAAAGGAGGCATGACTTAGTAAAATGACCCCAAGCATAAAAAAAAAAAAATCAAGAGTTTCAGTGGTTCAAAACTCTCATTCACGATAATCACATATACCTAGGGTATCAACATTTTGAATCTTGCTCTCAATTGTCTAACCCATTTAAGTTCATGACATGGTTGCAATTGTTTTGGGTACCATTAGGGCTGAAGAAAATCACTGCTCTTATCTATTTAAATTAAACAAACTTGTGTGGAGAGCTGGAAAAAGTGTTGTCAACCAAAAGACCAAAGAATCGAAAGGGATTGTATTGTGTGGAGAGCAAATTAATCCATCAGTCTGTTCAGTGTAAGATCATCTTACAGAACTCAAACATGAAATGGAGAGTCATTTGAAAATCCCTGTAGATTTCATATTATATCTTTGCGAGGCATGAGGAATCTAAACAAATAACAGAGACTTCTAATAATCTCTTCACTGTCCTTTTGCCAGAGTATTTGGTTATCAATACAAAAAAGAACCAACCCTGAAACTCTGAGAGAATCAAGACTAAACCCGAATATGATATCGTGGATGAGTGGCAATACAGAGTTAAAAAAGACATAAACAAAGCTCAGTTGCACAGTTGCATTCATGGTGTATGGTCTGAAAATATCTTCAGGCCCCATGAAGAGAGCACAGGGTCCAGTCAATTTCAGACTGGCTATTTGGCCATGGTCCCCAGGTGTACCTCTGAACTCTTCAGATTGGCCATGTGAGCTCATCTCATTGTACAGACTTTCGTGCAAGCTGCATTAGACATACGATACTGGAAGGTAGCTGTCAGTCATTCACAGTTAGCTCCCTCCAACCGATCCAGATGGACCTGTTTGGGGTAGTACCTGGCTGAAAATCAAGGACGGACCATGAACTGCTGAAGCTTGTAGTACTGGCACAGTCAACCGACCAGACAGAACATAGAATTATTGTGCATTTGTGTTGATAGTAACAGCATACAACTTTTCCTTTTTCTCCTTTTTTTTGATGAATTTGAACAATGCAACTTGGACTGACAGGGTTTCTTTCTTAATGCATTCTGAGTTCTCTTCTTGGAAGTGTCGTCGTCAGAGAGAAATTTGAAGATTTTGAGTGGCTAAACACCACCGAGCAGTAAACGAGGGCTTCTGTTGGGCCAATGTGCTAGAAGAATGTGCCGAGAGATGAGAAGATAGATTTTAGCTGCATAGAAAGAGAGCAATCTGAAGATTTTGATTTTTATTTGTGAGCTTTCATCGTAAAGATATCTTGAGGGTTGAACCATCATTATTTCTTCAGTGCAATATGTGAGCAGGTTCATTGAATTTCTGGGCAACGGGTCTCTTGAATTGTTGAAACAGAAACAAGTGTCAGATTCAAGCTCTTAATCAGAAGGTTCAGAACCCATAAAAACAGACGGACCAGTTGCACCTGGAACACAGTTTGAACTCTGGTTTAAACAACGTACGTTCTGAATAGGACCTCTCGGCATTCAATTTAGAGCTGGACAAAGACTTGTTGGCGGGAAAGATGGAAAGTATGCAGAGCTTGGGGCTCGAAAAACGTAAGGAAATTTTTCCAACTGAATGTCAGTGCCTATCGTGTTCTCTGCATTTTGTATTCTCCTCATGAAAATACTCGTTTTCTTATAACAGGTTCTCTGTACCAGAACTCCTCTACATATGCTGAAAACAACCAGAGTGTAATAAGATCTTACGTTAGCTTCTTCTCTGAACTTGTTGCTTGGTGTATTTGAATTCTTTAACTTCTCTATTCTACATTTTCCTATCTTATAGTGATCGATCTGTGATGCATCACAATCACTTACATGTTCTAATGCCTTGCAAGTAGGAAAGGCCCCATTCTGTTCTCAAATACAAATGGATAAAAGGAAGAAAGGAAAATTACCAATATGTTGCCACAAGCTTCCACAGTATTCAGTTTTCCTTGTAATGGCATCACCATTGAAGGTTCCTAGTATGTGAACTTTGACAAACATCCCATGCAAGAAAGAAAAGGTTGCAGGCTTGCAGCTAGTATAATTGTATAACTACAGATGTGTGAGACATGAGAGTAGTAATCATTGAACATGGGTCCTGGGATATATTAGAGACCAAATAAATTCCAGGAGTAATCCATACAATATAGCATGCTTTTTAGTGCATGATAAGATAGTCCCATGAAAGGCAAATTGAGCATAAACAGTGGAGTACAGAATGCAACATTTTGGGAAGCGATGGGCCTATACATATTCAAGAACTTTGGCATATGGTCTCCACTGTCTTACAATCTTTCTGTGGTAGCCTTATAAACTTTGGTGCTTTCCTCACATACATCTAATTCAGGTGAAAAAGTGAAGCCCTAGTAATAAGAGACCATGTTGGCATTTTCGGATCCTCCCTACTTTAGCAGAATAAATTGGGAACTACATCTTCGTAATCAGTCAATTGTGTGCAGTGGAATGCATCCCCCATGCATACAGCAATATAGACTCACCATGCAAGTAAACAAGCATTGCAACTGTACTCTTGATATTATGATGATGTCACATCCTTGAAAACTGTGGCAATAAGAAAACACAAAACTGTTACAAGTCTATAATAGTGAAAAGAAAACAAAACAAAGAATAACACAAACAAAAGTATCAACCAATCGACTGTAAATATCCATGAAGTGAAATGAATACTCTTCAAAAATTTTGAACCTCCTTTCCATAACTCATCCAACAGTACTGCAACTAAATAATGCCCAAAAATAACTAAATAAAACCTCTCAGAAGTTAAAACTGTTTTAAGGAACTTTTTCATGAGAGTAAATTTCCTATTTACATACTTCAACAATTGTAGATCCAAAAGTCCCCAATACAAAATCTCGAGCAGGTCTTGTTGACCCTAAGAATGTCATTGAAATTCTTGATTAACCCAACAGTACCCAGGCTTCAAAAAGTATCCATCTTGACGATTCCTTGATGATTCCATGAGACCAAACCTATTCAGTTTTCCAATGGCATGAATACTGGACTTCTATCAGATAGATCTTTGAAAAGGACTCTACATGATTGGAGTTCCAAAAAGTGTTTGAAGAGAAAGAGGTAGAAGAGGAGGGAACTCAATTTAGTGATTTTTTATGGTGAGTCAGGCAGTTAGGGACAGAGGTGTCACCAATGTGTGTTGCTGATTGAAAGGGTCTTGGGCATTTGTTCTAGGAGGGCTGATTAGTTTTTGTTGAGTTTTCAGAGCCTTGTGGGTGGCCCAAGTTGTTTTGTGCAGATTGTATATGTTGTATAGTCTGAGGTTGCTGGCCTTCTTTTTGACTGGGGCTTTTGGGCTTCTTTCTTTTGTACCTTTTTTTTTCCTGTTTTAATAATTGTTTTTATTTTATTATAAAAAAATGACCACATCATTCATCAATCTACAAAGGCAAATATTGTCCGTCTCTGTGGTCATGAAAACTTAATATTTCTCACTTCTTAATTGACCCCCTTTGCCATGTGATTAATTCAAATGAAAATTAATAGTTATTCTATCAACTAGGATCCAAATCAATTTGCAAAGTTGATGAAGGCATGGAGTCAAGGAAAGAAACTGTAGAGAACTAAATCAACTGTCTTCATATTCTTGAACCAGTGACAACTTCATAATTTCTAGGTAATTTTAATATTTTTTAGTATTTTAGATTTACTTTCTATATCATTAGAGTCTTAGGAGTAGGATCAGTTATTTTAGATGACCAAATTAGTTTATAGAGCCTTATTAGAAAGGTTTTACAATTTTAAAATGTTGAAGATCTACTCAGATCAACTTTCAGACTGTCTCTCGAGGGTAAAAACTTCTTCATTTTGTAATGTTTCGGTGTTATCAGATAAGTAACAAGTTATCTATAAAGTGAGGCCAATACATTGCAAATCTAACAAGCTTTGAGGGAGATATGGTCATCAATGTTTTAAAATGAAGAGGCATGGCATGAGGTGTTCCACAACCCGGAGGCATTAGGCAAAGTTCAGATCATAAGAGGCATAAGCCTCCCAAACACAAGGAAGTACAACACTCCTTAAGAGGAGGGTGATGAGGAAGAAGGGAGGGGAGGAGGAGTTAGAAGAAGGAGGGAGAGGAAGAAGAGGAAGGAGGATCTCATCCTTTTTTATTTTTTTAAATGAAAGATGTCTTATATTATGAATAATGAAGCTGCATTAAGACTAGCTGAAAAAGGGGGTCTTATTGAAAAGGTGTTGGGGGGGGGGGGGGGGGGGGGGGGGGGATGAAGTCTCAAACTTTCTTTCCCTTTATTCAAGCATATGCCTCTTGCACCTGAGGTGTACACCTCAGAGGCATAAACGCCTCTGGCAAACTCCAGGCATACGTCTCCCATGCATTTTAAAACACTGATGGTCATAGTGTCAGTCATTGATAAGATTAAGATCTTTCTATTTCTTTGGTCATGCTTGCAATTTTTTTATTAGCTGCAGTAGTATTATAAGATTGAGTTGTTAGGAGTTAGATTCCATATTTGAGTGTTCCTCTGTGTTGCCTATTGGGTTGTCATAATTTTGAAGTAGTTGGTGTTTATCTTAGCTCAGCTTTTGAGGTTTAATTGGAGCCTATGAAGGATATTTGAGACCTTATGTTTTAGTCTACAAGGTTATTGTTATTTAACTTTAATCGTTAACAAAATGGAATTAATAAAAGTTTATTTTGAAGCAACCTACAGGTAAAAGTCTTATCTTCTTTATTTCTATCTCTAAAGTTGAACCATTTCTTCTGTTTTCTCCCTTCTCTTCTTTACTCATATCTGAATATTTTTCCTTTATAATTTAGATCAATAACTTTCTCTTCATTGCTCACCACATCCTAGAAGAATTTTCCTTTTTCCATCTTACATCAACACTCCACATAGCAATCACCAGCCAATTATGTTAGAATGACAACATGAAAAGAAATGGCCTACAACCACTAATATCTATGCACATATAGAAGAAGACCAATATCCACAGAACATAGTTAACAATTGTTACTTTTTCTAATAGTATAGTTCATATATATTATCATGCAACCACAGTTGACACAGCTTCTTACTAGTTTCACAGTTAACATTTGATAATGGTCTAACGAAGTCACTTTTTTAATAGATGTAGAGATCATGGTCATTAATTAGGGGGGTGATTGCCAATATGCATGATTTTGTCTTCCGAAACAAGACAACTGCCATAGCAGCAACTATGTGCTAAATCATCCACTATAGCAGGGATTAATTATCTTGGTAACCATCTCCTCAACTTACTGTGGAAATGTAGATTACTGATAATTAACCTTCCAATGAAGCATGATAATAAAAGCTAAATGACCATATGGTTGAGTGAAGCTTTAATTCCACAATCTCATCCACATCCAAAACTCCCCGCTTTCAATCTGTTTCAATATTTTAATTCATGGTTGCACCTGAACAGTCCAGACTTGTAGAAAAATGCCGTCTAAGGATAAAAGCTTTCTAATGTAGTAAGATGCTTCAAAAATCAAAGATATGTTCAAACTGTTCCAGTCTCAAAAGTTTTTTCAAGACTGAAAGAAGGTTTATTTGGAGTGGGACCATCAAGAGGGTGAAGAAAGCAAAGAATGTGCTGAAGAGAAACAAAGGGGTCATTGTTCAAATCACTGGAGAGGCTGTAAGTTAGTGTAAAGTGGTGGGTAATGTGAGAAGAGGAGTGTAGTGTCTTGGTGTCTTTGTCTTCATGTTTGGAGTTTGTGGGGGTTGGTGTTTTGGCTTTGGGTTGATATTTGATAATGTGGTGTTTAACTGAGTTATTTGTTTGCAGGTTATTTTTTATATATTTTCAAAGTTTGTAGGGGGCTGGGTGGTTGTCTTAAGTTTTTTGTAGTGGAGAGAGTTACAGTGGTTGTTGAAGAATGTGGTGGAGGTTTTGGGTGTGTTGGAGGATGTTTTGCTGTCTTTCTTCTCTTGGGTGACTTTTCTTGTAATTTCATTTTTCTTTTTAATAATTTTTGTTTTATCTTCAAAAAAAATTATGCACATATCAAACAATCAATATGGTCTTCAAACTCACAAACAATCAATATGGTCTTCAAACTCATATTCTTTTATTCATTACTTAGATCAACATGTCAATTGAATTGAGGGGAAGAAAGTAATGCCTTTTTTGTGCACTGTGATTCTAAATTCAGCATCCATGTTCATAAGTGTTGGGAAAAAAAGGTTTTAAAGCTAGCCCCAACCTGACACAACCCTCCTTTATTTGGGCATAGGGATAGCTAAGATAGTGCAATGACCTTGATAATCATAAACTTGGAAGTAGGTAGTCTACACTTAAACCACAGATCAAGATGTTAAAACTGGAACCGCAAAGCACCCCAGAGAAAAGGGAGCTGAATCCTGAATTTTGGGACATGCTCCTATTATGTGAAGTATTTTTTTATTGTGTTTTGTTGCGAATTCATGAGGCCTTACCCAAGGTCTCATGCACCCTCTCTTACCAAGCACCCTTTCTTCAAAATAAAAAACACCTATAACCTATCCAAGCACCCTCTCTTACCAAGTTAATTTCATTTAAACAGGAAAACATCATCAGTTGGAAACGTTCTTGAGCATGAATGTACCATGGGTATGGGGTAAAAGAGAAATTGCCCTCAATATTCTTAACTTCGACCAAAAAGGCAAACAGGGGACTAAATGAATTGGCGTGTCATGTGGAAGAAGCTCCCCAGTAGCCCAGGCTGTTGGTCTATAGGCCCTCTCTCTCTCTCTCTCTCTCTCTCTCTCCCCCCTCAACAATATATGCCCATAATGCACCTACACATTACTAATTTATTAAAGTACCTGTTTCATCCTCATATGCAGAAACTTCTGAGATACTAAAAATTAAAAGTTTTTCACATTTGGTGTTCTTATAGTCCTACATCATCTCCATTTAGTTCTCGACTTCTCACTTTAGATAGTTACAAAATAGTGACTAGTAACAAAACATTTGAGACAGAGTTGAGAGATTCCAGTCATAGTTGTCAAGGTGACACAAGACACTGAAGCAGGTTTCTAGGCAACAAGGCTCCCATGGAGGGCTGCCTAGCTATTTTGTACATGGTGTTATTAAATACTTCCATATTCAGTTTGAGAGTTAAAATCCTAGTTTATTTTTTATTATTCTCTTGTTTATTAGGATTCAATCTTGCAAAATGTTTAGGACAAACTAAGAATTTTCCAGCTGACGACTGAAATCAATGCATCTACTCATGGGCTTCCTCGTTTCTTCCCAATTCATTCTCAAATTTGCCTAGCCCACAAAAATTATTAATAGACTGATAAGATAAAAAATCCTCCATCAGTCCATCCAAATAGGAACTTGGATCTCCTGCAAGCAAAAACTTGGTGTATGTTGTCTTGAACCCTCAAAGACTTCAAAACCTGAACTTAAAATCTTCTTCTTCACCCTTTAATTTTTCTTTTCCTATGACCAAAACAGGAGCTCAGTCCTCTAGTTTCTAAATTTTCTTTTCTTTCTTTTTTTCTTTTCATGAATATGTTGATTTTCTATGTTTTAATATGAAATTTATG